ATCGACCTAGATGAAGAATCAATGGAATTAGAAAAAGAAAACACCAATTATATTCACCAATGATGGAACTATTGGCTGAAGATTGTAAAGTTGCATTGCGAAATAGATTCTATATTACAAACATCATTACTAGAGAATGTCCACAATGTTTGGATTATATATGGAATGGGCCATTTCACGATGTTTGCAAACATTGTCATGCCGCAAGAATTTTCTTAACAGCTTAAACGAACACAGCAAATGAAATAAAGTGTGAGCTAGTTAATTATTTTAAAAATAAGGAACGTGTTATTTCTCCAGATAAAAAAAACAACATAATTTATTTTGAAACAACTGAAGAGGCATATTAGGAAATAATTCGTCTTTATAATGTTAAGGGTATATGTATCAATATTATATTTATTTATTGTCAATATAAATTTGGTTACAAAAATAATCTAACCTATTTAGATATTATAGACGCACAGATTTTTTATCCTTTTAAACCACAATCAAATGTTAGATCTATTTAGACCATTGGAGCTGAACCAATGACGATCAGTAAACAATGGCTCACCTTCAAAACCATCAGCTAAACCACGCAAGCCCAGCCGTATTCTGTGTTCAATTCAACTTGAAAATACAAATAATGAAGTTCTATCACCTTCAGTTCAAAAAAAAAATGGCAAGCATCAGAAAGGCAAAACGCAAGGTAAATTTTATTTTTTTTTGAGATTATTTAGGGATTAAAAAAATTATTCATATTAAAATATTCTAATTTAAATTTTTTTATTTGATTTTTTTTATATAGTGCTGCCATAATGAACAAATTCCTAAAACCACTATTTTAACTTCACAAAATAATGAACAACATCCGATAGCTACGCCCCTTCCCTTTGCAACACATGAGATGCTTTTTCAACTGCAATTTACAACATCTGAAGCTTACCAGGAAGCATCAACTATAAATACTCAATATATGGCTAATGAATTAGAAACACTTGCGCACCAATTAGAACTTGTGCGACAACATGTTTTAAATGTCCTTAGATGCTGAATATGATTAAAATAGATTAAAATAATATATCATGTAGTAGTTGTGTTCAGTTATTTCAATAAAGTTGAGTTTGTATACAAATGCTATAACAATTAAATTCTTATCCCTAAAATCTAGCTAGAATTTAATATATTGTCGGGATCACTTCTAATAAAATTGGGTAGAATTTCAATGAACTTCTATTACATTACTATATTAGTCAAGTCACGTAAACATATATCAAAAAAGTATAGAAATTTCAGGTGTAAATTCGGGTGTATCAAAAAAGTAGGTGCAGGAGTATCAAAAATGAATGTTTTGCGCCAGGGATTTTACTGTCACATGATTTTTTGACTTATATTAGCCAATTAAAAATTAGAATCAGGTGTACCGAAAAAAATTTCAAAACATTGGTTTTGCAAAAATCACATTTATCTCAAAATTTAGTCTAGTTCAAATATAATCGAAGTTTTTTAGCCCAACAACATCTGTTTCCGATTATCACGTGACAATAACATCGATATCGATACTACGCCCTGTCAAATTCAAAAGATTATATTGTACTTATACGGAAATTTAATACTAGATTTCTATTGGTTAACATTGTTATACTAAAAATAATATAGTACTTATATGGAAATTTAATAATTATACTATACCAATTATATGATTATTAAACCATTTTTATTATACGGTTTCGTATAATTGTCCATCCCTATGTGCGAATAAGCTTTCTAAAGAAGCATGGGTTGTTACATAAGACCCGTACGATAATCTGTGGTTTTGTTTTTTTTATATCTGTATATTACAAATGTAAAAAAAATAATATTTTATCTAAAGCAGAATATGATCTAGAAAGCGATCATTTAAACAAACATTAATTAGCAATTCCTATGGACATTCTAAATCGATATAGTAAAGTATAACAGATTTACAATATAATTGTTTTCATATGGGATAAATTATTTAAGTATAAAAGAGGACAGTTAAATATGAAGGATTAAATAAACTATGTTATGTATTAAATATACGTTTTCATGGTGAATAATATCTTGAGGAAATACTTTATATATAGTACTAGAGATAGAGATTGCTACGTATCAGATGGCTATAATAATTTATCCAGACAACTCGGATATTTTAATAACAATTTTATTAAATCACACTAGTGGTGTTCAACACCACATATTTTTTAATACTTTTGCTAGTAAAATTTAGATTAGAAACTCTAAACTATAGTAAATATATAGGTCTAAATTTTAGTTAAGATGTGGTTTTAATGTGATCAAATAAAATCACACTAAAATCACATAATTTTTGAATTACGTTAATATTACATGAATTCACTTTAAATGTTTAGTACTGTAATATGTGTTTATAACATTTCATATAGTAGTACTAGCTTATAACCTGTGACTTCGCTACGGAAGTTGTATATTATTAATATAATAATTGGTTGTTTTTTAAAATAATAAATATATTTAGAGATCTGCTATTGCCACCTCCACTTTTACTAATATTACCCTTACTGTATATAGTCTAACTATTATATTAAATTTTAGTTATACAATTTGTATAATAAAAATAACAAATTAAATTATAATATTAGATTAACTCTAATCCTAAATCTAACTTAATTTAAAGTTAGAATTAGAAATAAAGGCTGGCTAAACTATTTGGAAGTGGTATTAACAAAAATAAAGGGTGATATTATATTTATATTATATAATATTTGTTATATAATTTATTTTATAAGACAACTTTATATTAGAGTTCCTATCTATTATTTGTTTATCCATTTATCTACTGGATATCCAGATCTGAATTTATTTGAATATCCGTTTTACTATTGATATCCAAATAATTATCTGAATATTTATTGGATTATCTGGATATCAATAGTAAATGGATATTCAGATAAATTCAGATATGAATAAATGGATGACAGATTTATCCAGATTGGAACTCTACTTTATATTAGTTTAAGTTTGTTAATTTTATATTATTTAAAATAAAAAATAAAAAAAAAAAATTATAAAAAATAAATAAAAAAATATTAAATATTAATCTAGTTTGATCTATTTTTAAGAAGTTAATAATATTAATATTTTTAAAACAAAGAAATTATAATCAGTTTATTTACTTTGCAAAATTCTGTACCTTTTAATTACTAATATATATAAATAATTATGATTGTAAGATACCCTTATGTCAAGTAAAAATTAAACTCTTTTGATTCAAATAATCTTAATATCTAAAATCTCAACAGGTTATAATACTAATATTATACAATATAACAATTAATGATTTAAAGTTTGACGATATTTGTTAATATGATTATTGATCTTTAAATTTTATCACTTTAGAGTTATTGTTATTAAGTTTTTGGATGTTAGAATTTTGTAATAAAACTGATTAAATACTTAAATTGAAGTATTTTAAGTATTCTATATATAATAATATAAAAAAGTAAATAATATTATAAATTTTAATACTGAAAATTTTATTTTTGTTTGATATACAGTAAAGGTATCTCAACAGAAACAAACATCTCAATTAAGAAGTCTGTTTTCTTTAACATTAGAATTAAAGTTACTTTAGGTTAAGGTCAAAGATATTTTTATAAACAAAATTACCTTTTTACAATTTTTTATTAAAATACTAAGATAGGTTTAGACTATCATTTTTGCACTTTTTTTTCTTTTTACTTGTTTTGCTTTGTTAGACTAATTTGAGTTTATCAAATTTTGATGATCCAATTGGCTAATTATTATATAATTTGTCCTGCTTTAAGGAACTCATTTAATATAGAAAATATTATATAATAAATTAATATAAAAATTTATTTTTTTATAATTAAAGAAGTTTTTTTTATTAAGTTCAGTAATTGCACAAAGTATTATAGTCTATAATACTTTGTGTAACTACCAATTTGCAGATCCTTATGTTCGAGTCTTTAACTCCAAATATCTTGGAATCCACAAGGCCAATTTTAATGATCTAACCACCATTAGAACCAGAAAAGTCTCCTCTACAACTTTACTTAGAAGTCCAAGAGAAATTTACTTATTAAAATTTTCTTTAAATTTTTAAAAAATTAATTTTTGTATAACAGGTACCGTCATCTAACTTCAGCCAATTAGATTATATTTTTGTCTCATAGTGTTTGTCCCCGTGAATTATCTCATAGTGTTTATCTACCCCAATGCTCCTTATATAATAGATGTTAAATTAATACTATATAAAGTATGAAATAAATAAATTCTTTTTTAAAATCAAAAAGAAAAATTTGTTATGTTTGATATGAGTTCAAAAAGAACTAAATGAAACAGTAGAATGCTTTAATTTAATGTTTTTGATTGTTTTTGATTTTGCTTAGTTGAGCGCAACATTAAAAAATTGTAGTTCCTGTTTAGTTGAGTGCAGTATTTAAAAAATTGTAAGTTGTTTTTTTTTTACAAGATAAATTTTTTTTTAGCCTCAGTAAATATCATTAAATCCGTACTTTAAATCATCAGTAAACTGAATATATATCGCACACTTAATTTGCAAATTTTTATCATATAAATTCCGTGTTCCTAGTACAATCTCTATGTAATACTCCTTTCAAGCTATTGGCGTCAGAGTTGGCACCCATTGAGAGAATGGAGAACAATTTCATTGACATTGCTCCATTGCTCCATTGAGAGTAACTTCTGAATGGAACCAATGGGAGCCAAGCAGTTCCATTGAAAATAGCTTCTAAATAGAACTAATGGATTAATATTATTCCATTGCTTTATCAGTAAATAACTATAAGAGTTCTCTGTTTTTAATAATTGGAGTAATCTAATTTAATTTTGTAGCACTGTATTGTTTGCAGTATATAGTTATTTAAGATATATTAATTTTAATCACTGCTTAAATTTTGATTTAAGCTTGAAATTATTTTGATTAATATAAATTAGGATAACTGCGCGACGCAGTCGTGCTTAAGTCAGGAACATAGCATATAGGGTTTTTGTCTTAAAAATCACATTATGGAACATAGTAAATTATTTACATACGCACCAGGACCATCGGTCGAGGTAGAAACAAAATGCTAGCCAAATCAGCTAGTAAATTTCGCAAAATTAGCAAAGCCTATTAAAAGTTATACTTGGTAAGTATAAATCTTAACGTGTCTATTTTTTGTTCTTTTTCAGTGAGTTCTCCAGTCATCATCTAACATACGCATTATGTAAATAAGTATAACAAAAGTAATAGTAAATGTTTAGTACAAAGGTAGCAAATTTCGCATCTTAACACAAACATGGGTTGCTAGATATTTTGTTATAAAAAAAATATATATACGACGCTATGTTAGATCCGAAGACCCAGGTATTAATTTCCTTATTTATATTTACGCGCATATCGATGCCAATTCATTCACGATTTATATCCGCAATCACCGGCCAATCAAGACACACTTGCCATTCTAGTTGTTTGATAACCATACACTTCGTAATTTCATTACTACGTTCCTGGTATAGTCGAACGAATCAATACACACAAGTTCACAAACTTACGTTTCATATATATGTTTCACATCAATACACGTACGTACGTACATACGTATGCATCATATAATATGGGGCGTTCTCAGTCAAAACGCGCCTTCGTGAAATCCGACAATCGTTACACAAAATCTAATTGTAACGTGGGGTGTCATTAATTAATTAATAACACCCTACGTTACAATTAGATTTTGTGTAATGATTGTCGGACTTCACGAAGGTACGTACGTTTGACTGAGAACGCCCCATATTTTTAATTTAAGACTGATCATCTTCCAATCATATTTCAGATTTGGCTCACTAGTTGTCTGTTAACCATACACTTCGTAATTTCATTACTACGTTCCTGGTACCTTACAAAAGCGTGATTTTTAAAAAAGTAATCTAAGATTTGTTTTTTAATTCGATTTTATTAAATTACACCAGTGGTGTTCAACACCACAGTTGCTATATCACAAAAACGAACTAACACAACCAAGCAACAATTTTTAGCACCCCAAAGACCTCACCCTAACTAAAATTTAGGCCTATATCTTTACTATAGTTCAGGTTCCCTAATCTAAATTTTACTAGCAAAACTATTAACAAAAATACGGGGTGTTGAACACCGCTGGTATGATTTAGTGAATCTATTTTAAAATTTAGTTATATACAAATTCAAATATTTAAATTCAAGTTCGAGTTTTTAAATATAAAATAATTTAAATTCGATATCACTATCGGCACTATCAGGTTTTTGTATCAACTCCATTGGCTCCATTGGTTCCATTGGCCATTTGTTCCATTGCTTTATTGGCTTCATTGACACCATTCGCTTTATTGGCTCCATTCGCTTTATTGGCTCCATTCACTTCATTGACTCCATTGACTCCATTCACTTCATTGACTCCATTGACTCCATTCACTTCATTGACTCCATTGGTTCCATTCACTTCATTGACTCCATTGACTCTATTCACTTCATTGGCTCCATTGGCTCCATTCACTTCATTGGCTCCATTCGCTTCATTGACTCCATTGGCCATTGGTTCCATTGCTCCATCGGTTTCCTTGGCATCATTAGCACCATTCGCTTCATCGACCCCATTGGCATTCATCCAAGGGAAATAACTTTTGGCATCATTAGCACCATTCGCTTCATCGACACCATTGGCATCATTAGCACCATTCGCTTCATCGACCCCATTGGCGGCATACATCCAGGGTAAATAACTATTTACTTTTTTTTTAATATCTTCAAGGAACCTAAAATTGATTTAATAATTATAAAATGAACATAAATCGATAATTTGCATCAAGGGTATAGATCTTACCTGTCAAAATGTTGAATATACAAATACCAAGATAGAGCCATACACTGAACGGTGCACATGATGATACAAAGAATAAAGCTTCGTAGCTATTAAACCGAAAAATTTAAAAGTTAATGAGTATTTTCCACATCAATATTTAGTCACATGATATGTCACATGTAAAAATTTTTGGGTCGAATGATCGATACATCTAAATTTCATATGTAAACTAGTATTAGAACCCGTCATTAAACGTCGGGCAATGTGGTAAGGAATAATCATATACAAATATGTGAACAAATATGTTTCGCGATATGCAAGGGCCGTTATCTATCCGTCGGGACTATGTGCCAAACACATATATGCACGAATGTTACGCAAATATGCAATGTCTTAATATAGTAATAGATTTAAGCAAAAAAAATTGGTTTCTAGGCTTATTTAATACCAAAAAAGTTGTCTTTTTAAGGGTAGACTCTTATTAATTAACTTTAGCGTTAAAGTCAATGGTCAGGCTATAGTTAAAAAGTCGTTGCAAGATGATACTCGGAAATTAAACCGACAACATCTTTATGATTAAATAAGCCTAGAAAGCAAATTTCGGCTAAATTTACATATAAAATTTAGGTTCGGTTTGTTTTTTTTATAAAAGATTAAAGTATCTATAGTATGAATCAAGTTATATATAAAGAAAATATAAGATAATATAAAATAATACATACCAAAAATGCAGTAATTAACGTGAGTATCATTGTTGCATTTAAAACAACAGAACTAGCGAGCCGACGATCTTGATACAACATGAATTAATTTGATTAGAATAAATCAATTACCATACCGACGGGATTTGCAGAATTGAGTCTCCATAGATTTAAACAATGTGATAGTAAAATGAATCCCAAAATTTTAGTTATTACACACCCTACACGTTTTATATATATTGTTAAATTCAGGGACTATAATTTAGACTCAATTCCACCAATCCGCCGATATGAAGTATAATTTTCATGTAATTGCAGAAAAAATTCAAGAATACCTTCGAATCCATTGAGATATACAGTACTAAATTGAATTCGTTAGATAATTATTTTTACTATCAGGAAAATAATAGTAGACTTCATTTCGTTACCTTAAAAGTAATATGACATTACACAGAGTATATAAAACAGCGGATTCGGGCAAGTAACTAGCTATTAATGCTAAAGTTGACTGCGTGCAAATTAATAGCATAATTATGTTTACGAGAACAAAAATACTAAGGCTATTCAACAATTAAAAGCGAATAAAAACATTAATTATTGGAAGATAGTCAATTGCAAAGCTACGGGCGTATGCATTATACAAATAGAATTCCTACCAAAACAATTTAAGCATATTTTCCCTAATCCATTTGTAAAAGTCGTCCCGAATGTCCCAAATCCCTTTGAACCAATTGCCAGAAAGACAATCGCTCCAAATCTTTTTGGCCAAACTGCCAGAAACGGTCTCGCTCCAAAACGACATTGAAATCTTAATGAATTATTTGGAGATTTTTTTATAAGACAAGTTACGTTGGGATTAGTCCTAATATATATGTTTTAAGTGGGAATGGAATTAAGTGGATTCGAAATTTCCAAGTTAAATTAATAAGATCAACTCCAAAATGTTGGGTTTATATAAAAATTCCGTTTCCACTTAATTCAGCTTCCACTTACAATATATGTATGAAATTCTTTATCATGTGAGTACACCCTTGCATGTAAAAAAATAGTCCGTCGACAATAAAACATTTAAACCCTAACATACGTACGCACAGTGCAGGAAATCCAAAAACCTAAGCCTCTATAAAAATTTCCTAAATTATAAACTTCATTTTCAATCTGCACATGTTAGATGTATAGTGTGCTATTTATAGCTGTTTCAAACAGATGTGGAATGGGCAGATCATCATCTTACGGAAAATTCGTCAAGATTTCCAAGATTTCCAAGATTTCCAAGATTTCCAAGATTTCCAAAGTTTAAAGACCCGCTCCAATCGGCTCTTTAATTTTTACTAATTGGAATTTTCAAATTCTCTGATTCCCCATATGAAAATCGGTTTCCATATCTTTTTGAAAATCAGCTGTAAATGACTAAGTTATTTATCCTTTATTCTATGCGTTTAAAGTGTACCAGAAAACTTAGTGTCACGATCTTTCTATATAGAGATAATGTATAAATGCATGTACACTAACGCTAATAGTCCGTTGACAAAGCGTTTAAAACCCAACATACGTACGTACGGTGCAAAACTCCAAAAACTGCAAGCCTCATCCTTATAAAGCAAAGTATACAAGTAGTATATTGAAATCAAATATAGCGCTATATTTCCTAAATGCTTTATTGAAGTCGATAATTTAATTTTTATGCATCGCATAATTGGACAAAAAAATGCATAAAATTGATTCCGATGTACGAACTTAATTCCGAAACTATAAATGTATTACATAATTCGCGTATGATCTACGTGGTACAAGAAAATTTCACAGACAATAAAAATGCCTCTGATACAAATTTCTAAAATTGTAATTAATCTTTATCAACATTTTGTCTTATAATTTAAGATCCATTGTTTATAGTATTATAATTTGTACCTTGTATCTTTTAAAAAAATCATCTTTGTATATTAATAGCACAATGTACGTAAGTACTATTAAAAAATGATCTACGTAATAGAGATGTGTGAATGCATAATGCAGCATAATGCAGCATAATGCAGCATGCGACATTGTGCAATACCAAAATCAAGAAGCAAGATTCATACCCAATCCTTCTTATCTCTAGACAAAAGTTTACTATATTATACCTTATATTAGCTAGCTGATTTATACAGGTAGGAAATCACTAACTGATGCTACATATCACTTAGTATTACATATGATATAAAATATAATATTTTATTAATTTTTGTTGCATTAAAATTATATAGTAATTCTACGTGCTCTTTTAAATTTTAAAATGTCTACATTACATCATGCGACATTATGTTTTGAGTGATGTAATTCACATAATGCAGAATACTCATTGATTTTAATGTGCTGCTTGATTTTGCACTGGGCAGAAAATTTAAAAATAACCATCTCCCCAGAGTTAATGTAACATATAATTAAGTAAGCATAATTATCAAATATTTCTTAAATTATCGACTTCAATAAAGTATTCATGTAGACGCCTATTGATGTTAATAATTTGCTACTTGCTTATACTTATTGATGTTAGTAATTTTGCTACTTGTTTATACTTTATAAGGAGTGATTGTGGTTTTTAGATTCTTTGCACTGTACGTATACTTTATGATAATTTAGGGAATGCAGTATTTGGTTTCAATATGCTACTTTTTTTATACTTTGTCTCTGTGAGGGAATTGTGGTTGTTAGATTTCTTGCACCGTACGGTGCAGAAAATCTTTCTATAAAGATTTCCTAAATTATAAGCTTCATTCTCAATCTACACATACCAAGAATCAAATTAATATGCATAGTGTATCTGAAACTCCGCTAAATGACTAATTTAGTTATCCTTTATTCCATGCGTATAAATTTCTATATTTCCTGCACGGAAAATTTTTAATCTTTTTTATGTAGAGAAGAGATAATGCATAAATACATGTACACTAATAGTCCGTCGACAATGAAGCATTTAAAACCCAACATACATACGTACGGTGCAGAAACTCCACTATGTAAATTACTAATTTAGTTCTACGCGTCGTATCAAGTGATTGAAGGTTCTAGATTCTTGCACAGAAAATTTAAGCCTCAATCTTTCTATGTAGAAGTAACGCATAAATCAGGGAAATAAATACCAATTCATTTACCTCCCATTGTTTCAGGTGTCTTTTTTTGATACATTAGAACAATTGAATTAATTTGAAGCAAGAACGAAATTTTTAAATATATTTCTTAAATTATCAATCTCAATAAAGTATAACATGCACTTAAAACGTAGCATGCATTAAGATAAACTGCTGCTGAATTTAGCTATTTCCAATGAGTTAGTTAAAGTAATTGAGTTTTTTAGAGTTTCTGCACTGTACGGTACAAGAAATTTAAAACCACAATCTATAGAGACAAAGTATCAATGACGTGTGTACACATAAAAATCGATAATTTAAGAAATAAGTATAGCTGCACGATGCAGTCGTTAAACCAGGAACGGATGATGATCTGATTTCAAATTTTTTTATTTAAAGAGCTGAAGAATAGTTAGAATCATAACAACAGTCAATTCATTTTTTATTTAAAGAGCTGAAGAATAGTTAGAATCATAACAACAGTCAATTCATTTTTTATTTAAAGAGCTGAAATAAGAATAGTTAGAATCATAACAACAGTCAATTCATTTTTTATTTAAAGAGCTGAAGTAAGAATAGTTAGAATCATAACAACAGAGCAATTCTTTACAATGGGTTTTTTTTTCCTTGACGTGTATAGAACATTCAAAATCTCAGAGTATCCAGGTCAATTAAAATGGTGGCGTACCATTATAATTGCGATTCTTTCGATTTTTTTGGCTATTCAATTTGGTGTACTAGTTGAACAAATGGTTGAAGAAAAACCTAGTATTAAAACTAGTTATGATAAAAGTAGTGATGCTATATTAATGCCAAGTAAAAATTTTTTTTTATTATTTTAATTATTTATTATATCAATAATGCTGAAGTTAAATTTATATATAGATTTATTATTTACTTTTCGTAAAGAGTTTACACTTCGTTGTGATACTACGGGTAAGAGCTATTGATTTTATCAACCATTTTTTATCAATCATTTTATATTGCAATTAAGTTAATTCAAATCGTTTAAAAGACTTTCCAGATTGTGATAAATATTTTGTCTATACTTCAATTGAAGACAATCCTATTTATGAAAGCGTTGATGAGCCGGAAATGAAATTCGCTTGGTATTTGCCGAATGGCACCATAAAATTTAATACAGACAGAACCAAAAAATTTACATTTTTCATAGATGTAAATGATCCTACGTATAATAACTTAAATGAAACTGATGATTTCATTATAAGTATATTTGATTCGGGTATTTTATCTGTTTTTTTTAAAACATTTATAATATATCAGATATATCAGATATAATTAGTTTTAATAAAATTGAACTATTTAAAAATAGATTATTTGCCGAATAAAAACGAATCACCAGATTATATTGAATATCTCAATACGCAAAACCAATATTATATAACACAAGGAAAAGATGTGGAAAATGTATGAAATTTTATATTAAATTTATATTTACTAAAAATATTTAGCTACTAATTAAAAAATATTTGTTAGTATTATTTGTTAAGATTTCGTAGAATAGAAAGACAAGAGATAGATAATTCAT